GGGACTAGTAATGACCATCCAAAAACACGCAAGATGATATACATCTCATTTCGAAAAGTCAATTCCACCTCCCTTTCCTTGTCAGTACCCTTGAAACAAAACAACGATAACAAGTGAATCACATCCTTTTCATACTACTTTTTCTTTTTCTTCTTAGGAGGCTCTTCCTCGGCTTTTGGTGGCTCGAGCTTATACCCGTGCATTTCACACCAACCAAGAGGAAATATGTCGTTGGAGCTGAAAAGAAACCTTTTAGGTTGTGTATCGTAACCAGTTAGCGAACGAATTTTCGTAGTTTGGTATACTCGATGCAAAACGGGACAAAACCTACTACTGCTCGTTATTTCAAAACAGCATGAGTATCAGCTTCACACTGCTTATAATCGTGGTTTCCTCTGAGGAAGCTCCTTGCAAAAAGCGGAGCGAATGGGTCTGTAGCTGCATTAGAGCTTTTCAGCTTCATGCACGTGAACGGTACTGTAAGATAGTGGTATAGAGCGCTGCTAATTTCTCTGCCCACGCTATCCTCAAGATGCAGCACTTGCGTCGATACTCAAGCGTTTGGCTAGGCACCTGGCTGGACGTGCGGCACGCGGGTAAAGTATGGAGGTGGCGTCTGGGCATCGACCCTCCAAGTGGTTCCCGTGCACTTCTGTCTGGAGAAAGTGGCACGCTACTGCAGCTGCTGCGTACCAATTCTTCTCGCATATGATAAGGCCAGATTCACGGAGGTGCGTGTACAGTTTGTTTCCGATCTACTAGCACCCGAGTGCCCTGCCCTTACTAAGTTCACTCGTTATTTACCAAGAACGGCAGACAGCTATAAGAATGCAGCCTCTAGAACATGGTCAGATGCGTCTCTAAATAGTAAGAAAAACATACTGCACATCAAAGAGCTGATCGTATGTGTCCTCCCATCCATCGAAATGGATCTGCAACAGTCGTCCTTTGTGGGCAGCTACTGTAGCCGGACAGACTAAATGGTTCTCGCACATGTCGGAGGACTCAAGTTTAGCACCGATCTGTAAAACAAACCCGTAATATACATAAGCATGAGGCAAAGCAACAACTGATATATACCTGGAAATGGTCCATATATTTTTGATCAGGAATGCTACGGAATAGCGTTTCTGGCGCAGCAATGGTATCAGATTGCTGTAGGTAATCATTCCAGTCGAACTTTTCAGTATCTGAAGAGCATCTGTCTAAATAGCTTGATATCAGACATGATTACAGAAGTAACATTGTTCGTGGTATTGGAAGTAGTAAGGTTCAAAAGGATAGTTAAAGGCACTGGACGCGATGGCTGGGGGCGGGCGTTTACTGCAATCATTGGCGGAAGGGCTGCGAGAAGGCGTCTGGTCACACTTCATCGCGCCAGAACCGTCCGCCTCCAGCAGTCATGTCCACTGCCATCAAAATTATCAGATATCGCAAAAGGATTACCATTGGGTCCTCCTAACTTTATGCCGTATTTCTCCGCGTATCCAACAGGAAACATGAAGGGACTGGTGCAGTGAAGTGGAATGCATTCCGATTCAACATCTGGACCATCCATACCGACACGAAGGTACCCACCCTACAACATTGGCCATGAACCTACACGATATCTACTAACTTAAGATTCTTATGAATAGCGCACCTTCAACACTTCCAGCACACTAGCTACTCTGAGCTCATTGAACATTTGCGCTAACGGATCCATCAATTCGAACTTCATCCCCTTCTGCCAACCCAGCGGTACCTCCTGGATTAAAATTGCTTACTTTGAGAAATCAAACTCCTTAATTCAATTTCTACACCAAGCTGAACCTTGTCGATGTTCCAGGAACGCAGTTTTGCCGGACTGACATCACTGGGAGCAAAAGGAGGGTCTTCACCCTGAAACAAGCAGAGCTGAGAAAAGCCCCATTACTCATAGATGAGCACCTTAGTCTAATAGGCTCTACCCTGCAAATATACAAAATGTGCTTTGATCCTCTAGGAATAACGTGTAGAACACGGATGAGACAATCGTGGTCAGAAATACGGTCAGGCAGGACGACTAGTCCCGTCGTCACCCGCGACTTCGCTTACCAGGCCCACAGCGGCATATTGCGATTGTCTTGTCACATATCTGTGACGTTCTTTTTAGCAACATCCGCCTACTGGAGGTGATTTTTGTCAACTTGTGTTTCGGTCACAAGGTCTTTAAGACACGTCTGGAAGTTTTATAGGCTGTGTTCATTCTTTGCGACAAGAGAATGGGAGAGTCGGCTATTTTATGGTTGGCGCGCCGAGTAAATGGGGTGAGGAGCATAGACTACCTCTGGTATCGACTACCGAAGGACTTAGTGGGAAAAGATTGTTTGACGTTTTGAGAGCGCATGCGCTCTCCCAGATCGCGAAATCGCTTGTGAGCTGAGTGGACACCTGTACACCTTTGAAAGACTTACAACAGAGCACCTACGGGTACATCAAATGAGTAAATATAGTGTGCTTTAGGATGGCAGAGTGAAATTAAAAGTAGTTTAGCGAATCCACTCACCTTACTAAGAGCCTCAGCGATCTTTTGTGCGTGCTTTCTATATTCTTTAGTAGATCCTAGGCCATAATTGTTATAGCATGCCCAGCCAACATGGAACAAATAGAAACTCGATTGGTCCACCCAAAATTCTGATTCTTCGCCAAACTGAAACACTGATAATCAAGGCAGAATTGAATACACGCTACGAATACACTGCCATTGGAAAATATGATGGTTTACACCGTTTACCTGACGATCGTCCTCATCTACTTCGCCATCGAAATCTTCCTCCTTCACATGGACACAGAGCCGACGGCCTACCACTCTCTTAACACGAGCAGGCCTAACACGCGTTGAATTATTGTAGTCTAGCAACTCCACACGATCGTTCACCTGAATTCGCCTCGAGATCAACCTTCAATTGGCTACGACATCAGTCAATCACTATAATTAGGAAAATTAGGGAAAAAATCGACTACTGGGACTAGCGGACGAGATCATGCACGTAACAAACATTCCGATCGAAATCTGGTCCTAGCCACTGGAAGTGTGCAGCGAAGGGTAAATAGTGGCTATTACTCACTATTCATTCCCGCGGGTCAATAGAACCAGACTTTGCCCCGCGGTACTCCCTACGGATGTACTGCGGGCCGAAGTCTGGTTATATTGACCCTTTCGAACTTTTTAAGATTTAATAAGATATCATAGCCTCATTTTGTTGTCAAGGAAGATAGCTCTTGGTAAACTAGTGGATTTCTGTCAAAAGAATAACCACAAACCTTGAACTTGGTATCAGTGACTATGCGTTTACGGTCATCCTCAAAATGCTTTCGCAATGAGCGCACGTGCTGCAGAGGAATCATCGTCGACTGAATATGTTTCGATAAACCTTCTTCACCATCACTCAGCCAACGATCAGCAATAAACTTTGGTGGCATAAAAACATAAGTGAGCCGATTGTATTGTACCGAGGAGCCACTGGAACAGAATGATTTCCATCTTTTCACTCTTGTTTCCAAGTGGGACAGCATCAGTCTGCATCAAATCCTACTCAAAAGCACATATTTGAGCTGAGATTACTAGTAAGGAGCTGATGCGTAAATCGAGTCCTATTAATTTGCGAGCAAAATTGCATCACGATACCCTACTTACGTCACAAATCTAGAGCACCTTCCACCTCTCTGCGCAAAATCTGATACTACTATCCGATGCTGAATATTAAGACATAAATTCAGGAACATGTGAACTGTCCAGAATTGACCTTACCGCTGGTCGTCCGTCCGGGACCCTGTCTACCCCCTTGCCTTTTTTAGAGTCAATCACTCACATGTATGGCGTCCAAAAGCCTCTGTATCTTCCCAAAGGACTGACCGTCTATAAGTCCAAACGTTCTTTCAGTATCATGCAGTAAACTGTTGGACACAAACAGTTAACCGCTCATTTCATTTATTATAAGGACAATGGACTCTGCCCATCCCGGCAGATCGCACCTGTTCCCTATGCTGTTTCGCATGCTCATTACTCCGTGGAAGGCGCGGATTACTGAGCTAGGACCTCGACACGCAAAAAGGGCAGATATCGCGGTTGCGGTACTTATCTCTGGGTGGGGGTGGGGGAGTGCCATGCTTGACTCTGGTGGCATTTGTATCTTACGCAGCTTAACTTGTTTGAAAAGAGAGCAGGAGTTGGCAGAACTAACGTTTGGCAGAGTTCTCAATATCAGATTTTCTAGCCTTCTATAACAGCTTTATGGTACAGCTTCAGTTCGGTGCTATTACTTATATCACCGGATATAGAATTACTTAGAGTGGGAGGGACTGTAGTTATGCGTGTAGCGCATTTCCAAAAAAACTTTGTTCTGTAGTTTTTTGGGATATAAATGCAACACATTAAAAACTTCCTGAAAGGTCTCAGAATAGTCCATGCTCGACTTTCTTGCAATCATCATCATCCCTGCGTCACGCGTCCAAGATCAAGGTAAGCCAGCGTTCCGCCCTAGATCGATACCCTTGGGTGATTTACTGTGTTGGAGCGAGCAGGTCTCGAAATGTTTTTTCACCATTTCAGGCTCTGACGAAGGCGAAGACGCCGAAACGTAGGCCTTGCTAAATCTTGGAAAGGCTAGAAGAAAAACAAGAACTATATGCTTCCTGAAAGAATATGGGCACGGAACGTAGTAAAGTTAGTGAAACTCTACTCACTATCCAATAGAGTGAAGAGATTTAGAGCCAATGTTCACCCAGAAGTCAAAGCGTTCATCGCCCTCCTCGTTAGCTCCCACCCACCTCAACAGTAGGCGATATCCGGCAATCTAAATTTAGCTAGTAATCAGTTGAGATGCACAACGTTGGAAGTCGATGGCGCCAAAAGGGCATGATATCTGACCTTCACGATTTTCGCCAGCCACATGCCTTTAACATTGTGGTCCATGAATTCATCATATTCCTTCATGACGTATTCGACCTGAAAGCCATCTTAACTCATCTATCTATAAGATTGCCATAATAGCCCCACAGCAAAAAAACTTTCCACTTCAGGACAGTCTGGTTGGCAGTACAAACTCATTTCTTCTTAGCGAATCTTTCCTGTTCATTTTCGGCTTAATTCGAAAGGAAAAACGATCTGAATTTTGAAAAAATCTTGGACTCCTCTTGAGACTTGACTAAGGGGCGTGGTTCAATATTGTAGCACATAACCGGGAGAGAAGGAATGAACAGGGTTGAAAAAGTCGAGCATTTGGTTGCGAAAGTGGCGAATCTGGTTCGAAAAGTCGTGAATTCAAAATAAGAACTGAATATCAACTATGTAAGAAACCCCCAACCCTGAGAATTACACCATAGATGGGATTTCCGCTACCGAACTGCGGAACCTATAGGAACTCGATTATCTGCCATACAGGGGGGGGGGGCAAAAAAAAGTCATTTTGCCTCCATGACTTTCAAGGCGCTATAAGTTACACTTTATTAAATTTTTATCGGACATTTTTACTACCATAGAGCACATTAAATACTATAATGATACTCCGCCACAGCCTTCTGGAGGAGCGCCATCGAGAGATTCGGCCGCGCGAAAGTGAGTGGGTACCGGAGTTGAGCGAGATCGTTGATTTCTCCGCCACTGTAGACCACCCTGTTGAGCTCCGCCCGAACTAGGTAATTGAGTGGGTTCAGGTCAGGGGACATATTTCAATATTACATCTTCATCAGGTACGAAACGCCCTTCCATTCGAAGTAGGCGGGAGTTTTTCCAAAACCCTTCGATTCCATGTGGTGGCACCCAAACCTGTAGCAGCACAAGGTCTCCAAGAAGGTACGGGCGACCACATGTAGGGAGGATATCCTTCTCGAGTTACTTGATGTAACCGCCAGCGCTCACCTTCAGTCGGGGTCTACAAAGAAAATATCGGTCTTCCCATTCCAGGTACGGCCGGTCCACACCATCAACCCGCGCCTTGGTGAATGGGGTGAAGATGATGTCCTGGACCGTAGCGACGTTGCCGGAGCTGCTCGATGTTTGAGGTCTTGCAGATCAAGAGTACTGGTCTCCAGGTAGCTATCCATGGGTGATTCCATTCAAGAAGTTCCGCAGCTGTTTGGAGGCCACGTGAATTCCAAAGCTTTCTGGAAGGCCACCGCTGGAATTCCAAAGGCGTTTTCCACTCCAGCGCCGCGACTTTCATATTCTGGCTGCCACATGAAGGTGAAATGGCGGCAGCCGGCTCCTGCTTATAGAGGAAGATCTTGGGTATCTTCCGCCCTGGTACTCATATCCACTTCCTCTGTCTGGGCTGCGAAAACTTCGCTCATATGTGACTCGGCCGGAATGACTTTTTTGCCCCCCCCCCTCTGTATATGACTAGCGCAGGCGGACTCAGAAAACGCGCAGCACTGTATACATTATATTACATTTATACATTCTACTGACAGCGCTCCTAACGTCGGTGGCCGCGGACCTGTCCGCTCAAACGGTGGAACCACTGGTGAGTCTCTGTCTTGCGATATTGGCGTCTTCTCGAGGGGTTCCTGACACGACGTCGGAACCGCTAGAGTTGACGAGGTGCTTGGTGGGGTAGGTTGCATATCTAATGCTTGAAACACATTCAGGCCTCTGAAGACGACGATTGAGTCGAAACGTTAGGCCATTAAATAAATGTTCCACCTAACAACCTCGTAAGGCACAAGAAAACTGAAACACTCACTACTAACATGCCGAGTTGCAAGAAGAGAGAAGCTGGAGAATACTGTATACATTGATAAATGGACTAAGAAAAATAGTAGATTCTTCGGGATTTTCTGTATGTGGAAACTGTACAAGCACGTAAGAGCGCCATCCTAGGCATAGGTAAAATAGGAACTGATGAATAGAGATCAGTAAGGGGAGGTTACAACAAAACTTACCTCTATAGTGTTCTGGATTGAAGAACCATCATAAGAGGTCATATAAGGAAGCGGTGGGAAATTGCTCTTTTTAGTTATGTGGTTGCCTACTCTCCCAAAACAGCTTTTTAAACTCAGCATAGTTTGTAATCAGTTATTTATCTAGGCTATACGAATTGAGCCTCATGTAACCAGCTGCAGAAGTGGCATAGGGGCAAGTGGCCGTTTACCATGTACATAGCCTGGAGTTCAATTCTTGGATCGGTTCCTTACAGGCCAGCCAAGCCTTCCACCTCCGGCAGGCTAAGTTGGTACTTGATTGATGGAGTGTGAGGATAAGAGCGGTGACTTGTACATCGGCTGGCCACCGCAAGTCATTGTATGGGCCACATCGCATTCAATAAGCCACTACGATTCTGAATGGAAGTAGAATGCGTGCCGCATTCCAGGACTATGACTGATCAACGAAAAAGAGTTTATCCTTTTATTTAGAGTAGATTGCCATCAAAGGAAAAGCTCACCACAACACCCTCTACTAGTTTGTCGGTGTATTCACCGAATACGTGCTCTCCAAAGGCATCTACAGGCACGACGTATGGCCACATTCGTCCGTCTTCCACCAGTTGCTCATTTTCAACGTTTCCATTAGCTTCTTGAAGCAACTTTTTGTCTTTGTCGTCCATTTTAGCCAGATCTAAGGTATTTAATCAAATAAGATTTTTTAAAGCACATAATGAAGGTTTTCGCTGAACAAAAACTCTATTGGGGGAACCCACTTGAAAGAAACTTGCTCCATGTCCAAGAATTCGACAGGTCGCTGTGCTTCACAATTCCGTTGAGAAGCTCCACATTGTGGAAGAGAGACATGTCAACGAGGAAACTGAGGCACTTCTTGAGAACAGTGTCGCTGAAATGGTCTTCAAAACCAAACACTACAAGTTACAACATCCCGACAGTAATGTTGACTGCTCTCATTGAGTAAACCTGTATCATTACTCAACGGAAATCAACAGCATCGAAAGACACCCGACCACGTTCAGAGTACGCGATCGGAACGCTCGACTGGATCGCGCGACCACGACCGGCGCTCCACCGCCAAGTGATGACCGCCGAATTCAAATGGGCCGCGTTCACAGTGTCAATCTGAATCGTGTCACTACGGGTGGTGCACTGTTTGGCGGTGAAGCGCCCCCGGGCAGGACCAAGGCAATCGCTCGCGCAATACAATCAGGGTACAGCACGGGGATGTGCGAAATGGCGGTGTGAGTACGACCCCCCCCCCCCCTCGAAGAGGGTCCAGTACGACCCCCCCCCTCCTGCTCTAACTGACAACCAGATGCATGTTCACACACAAATGGCTTCCTGAAATGGAATCTGGATTTTCGAAAGGCGGACTCTGCTCTAAAATCCAGGCAATAATAGGCTGAACAACAGCCTCGCATTACCTACAATTTTGTCTTAGGATTCAAAATAAAACTCGTCGTTCGACAACCATGTATGACATGCAACTTGTAACAAGGAACACAATCGAAACAGCGACTAATGGTGATCGATAAGCTAAATTGGTGAAAAAATAGCCCCAAGGTCAGCGTGTCAGGCCCAGATGTGCATTCAATGAATGGTGACGGGGAAATCATGAAAACATGCACGACACAACAAAGCGAAACATGAAAAATACAAAAAATGCGGAGCCAAATGAAAAAAGGATAACCAGGCGGCAGTATATCGTTCTATACTTGGCTATTATCGATCGCAACGTTGCGACCGCTTTCATTGGAAAAACGTCATTGGAGCGCGGTTGTTGGGCCTGCCAACGTCCTGGGGTCTTTTCGGGGTTATATCTCTTTGAGGGGCGCGGCTTTTGATGAATGGTTAGCAGCATGCAACGGGAATGTTCCTACTGTTGCGTTTTCTACCCAGTTGCAATCTGAATGTTTCCCCGTTCGTGAAATATTTCGGATGGGTTTCGGATCAGGACCAAAACCCTCTTCGGAGCGCCATATCTTTTTCCTTTCCAATAAGCTTTACAGTTTTCTGAAGACCCACTAGTTCAGGAGATATTTTAGATGGGTCACAGACGCGCTACCCTCTGACCCACCCGAAAAATCCTCCTTCTGTGCCATTGTGAGGATACACCTTCGAAAACTCCAAAACACATATTTCCCTTCAAATGAGTGAAAGAGGAGCTCGGCTATCACTGTCCGAGTGTGCGCCGTGCATTACGCTCCTACGCAGAGGTGGTGGAAAGGTGTAAATTCTGATTTCAGGTGCTTTTATCCATGCAAGCAGATGTTTGTTTAGGGTTTGGAAAGGACAATACGCACGAATCTGTTTGAGACGTATTATTTAGTCATCTACGTACTTACGAGTTCATGCTATTAACTGATATTTATTTATTTATTCTTGCTATTCTTGCTATATTGCTAATAAATTTTTTATTATTTTGTAGTCCTATTTACATCCGGGTCTTCTGCAGCTTTCCGTCCGCTCCATCAAACTTAGCAATGATACTTTGTTTGGCCAAGTACAAACCCATTTTTGTGGATTTCGCATGAAAAGAGGGCTGTTAAACGTAGCAGTTAAATCTGTAAAGAATACACTCATAATAATTTTCATTTTTTAACATCTTGACTTCCATAGCTCCACTCCCACTATCAACTGAAATGTCGAAGCATTGCCCGGCTCTGAGTGACCCTTGAGATTACGACCCCCCCCCTCCCCAGCGGCCAAGTACGACCCCCCCCCCTATGGGTTTCGCACAACGATGCTGTACCCTGGAAGTCTGAAGGCGGCCTCATGACGGAAGATTTACGATTTGCGATTTATTATCGGCAAACTATTCAAAGAAAACTCGGTTATAAGCAAAGACCACAAACATAACTCCGATAAGTAAAACACAGTAGGGTCGTGGAACAAAAAGTACTGCAAGTTGAGAGGAAAATCAGCTCAAAAGGGTAGGGTGTGAACAAACAGATAACTTCCTAGAAACTTCTTAGCACTTCTCACTTCACACGGACGTTATAAATACCCAGATAGCTAACCACAAAATGCAATGATACCAGACGGTAGCAAACCGCAAACAGAACATTTGACACCATATTAGAGCATAATCTTTATTATCTTCGAGCTAATGTAGGAATTCCAGAATGAAGAAGTGTGACTCGTGTAGTTGAAATAAGTGCACATTTCAAAGCTTCTGCCGAGAAGCTATAACTAACAATAACGAAATTAGCAAATCGCAGGTTTACTAGCGGCGAAAAAAGCACAAGTGTACTGGTTTTGTAACATAGACAATCGATTTACGGTATAATAGCTTGTAATCCGCTCTTCTTTTTCGACGACAAAACCAGTAAGACGTACAATTCGCATCACTTCCTCGTATGGCAATTCTATGGACATCTGGAAAACAGACGGGTTAATACGACCGAGAGAAATAAAAGCATGCCGGGTCAAATGCTCGTTAAAAAACCTATGCAGACAGGCAAAAGGTACTATAAGAAATGGGAACGGTCAGAACTCGAATAACAGCTTAAATTACTCGAGCGCAGTGAAAAGAAAACCAACAGCATGACGCCATGTGCAACTTCAGAATTGTCGCGGGGCTAAGTAACCCAAGATGTCGTTGGATAAACGGTAAATCAGCCGTAAATGCACGCACGACGCCGCTTTTCAAGCATGTGATTTTAGCACTGAGTGTTTCGCGAGAGTTAGGAGGACTAAAAATATTCAGATGGTGCTCCAATGAGAATAAGTTATGAAATGTATTTAGGCTGTAGGCTCATAGTTTGCGAGGGGAGAGTAAAAAATCTGCGATTCGACTTTCGGGACTGTGCACGGTGCACGGTTAAGGGAAGCACAGGTATCGACCGGGGCAAATTGGCGTTCTCCAAGAGCGCCGAATCGCCGATTCTCCTCCTCTCCCGTCGCAAAATATAACGCAACCTAACCTATGTGGCGGATTTCAGACCCCTGGCTTCACGAGGAGGTACTGTAGTAGTATGCTGGAGTATGCGCGTGTACTGCAGGTAAACGCGGCGTTCAATGTGTCAAGAAGTGGTGAAAAGCAACTTGCTTCGCGATTTGGTACTATTGCATGTTTTCCCCCAACAAAGCACCCATGGGAGATCAGCCAGTGGGTTTGCAAGAGCAGGAGGCTAGTGTCCTCTGTACGAGCACATGAGGTCGTCCTACAACGCAGCAAGCAACAAGCTCGGAAATTAGCAGTGTGAGTTGTTGCCTTGAAGCCCGAAAACATTAATCTAGTAAAAGGTCACGCGCCTGTGACCGCTATATATCGCACGATAAGTGAAGAAAGTGATACCCTCTCTGCGAATGCGGACGTGGCATTCAACGTGGCACCAAAGGCACGCATGCATTTTATGGATTACTTGATCGCAGCAAATGTCTTTAATCAGTCGATCCATGTTCAATTCCTTCTATGGATTGAGCGCTTGCTCCTGCTGATCCACAACGGCGGCAGTTGAGAAAGGAGTTTGGACATATTTGGTGCGAAACTGTCTACGAACCCAACAACCTGCACAAACCATGAACTTATTCAACGGGCTTAACCTTATCTTATTGTCAAGTATATCACGCTTTCGATGAAAAGAGTGCGTCACTCTTTTCATCAGTATCGGGGCTCACCTCCTCGATCATATCCTCATAATGGTATGTGAGAGGTCCCACATTCAGCCAAATTCCACCTGGTTTAAGAATCTTGTAGATAGTCTCTGCAAAGCAACAACAATTGTATGAAAAAGAGGATTCTGGTTATAAAAGTACCAATAAACGTTGTGTACAAGATGGTGAGAATTTCACAGGAACGAGAAAAAAATCAAGAGGCGGCCAAAAAAGCAGAAATATGTTCCTTTTATGTGTTATAAGAAGATATTCGATAAATTTTTCTGTGAAAACGTAACTTGCGAGACGATTACCTATGTAGTCGATTATATTCTTGGCCGTGTCGATGAACCATGCCGTAACAACACAATCGAATTGTGATGTTCTCGATTGCGTTATCTCTAAAAAGTCACCGGCGATCATCGAGAAATTGGGTGGGGCCTGAATGCGTAGCTGGTCAAATGGAAAAATCAACTTCATTTCATATTCATGTCCAGTCATGAAGATATGATATGTAGGAGAAAATATTTGACTCCCTCCCTCCTTACTCTAGGAAAGATTCTGCCAGTAGCTACGTGATATTGTGTAATTCTTTCTTCGCTCTCGAGATTTGGCGATTTAAGCGATTGCGCGAAAAGGAAGTACTGGTACCGATCTGGCGATTTGGGAGATTGAGTGAGCCGGCGATTTTTGAGACTCGCGCGATCGCGTTTTAAAGGAGCTAATGGGTATCGACTGGCGATCGCGGAGATTCGGCATTCCGATGATGTGGGAGATTGAGCGATCCGGCGGTTAGAAAGGCTTGGCGATCTGCAAGAGCACCGGGTTATAAAGTCTCCGCAATCACTAGAGAACGGCGCCGATCCCTGATCATCCCATCCTTTCGCGCACAATCGCCGGAGACGCCAAGTCTTTCGAATGGTCTCATCGCTCAGTCCCCGCACTCGCCTGATCGATACCTATACTTTTTTCGTCACGCTGTCTTACATTTCCTATTCTTCCGAATCGCCAAATCTCTCGCAAACTATGTAGGTAATCCTCACGACGGAAGGACACGGGAATCGTATTCTCCCATCCCACGTTCAACGGTTCAGAGGTCGTTCAACGGTCGTTGTGAAATTTTCGGAATAAAAGTCACCTCAGTTCTCGATTTACCAATATCAGGGAAGTACACAGGTCTCGTCTGGTCCTCATACGACCAGCAATTGCTTTTATCCAAAGCGTAAGGAAACATAACATGCTCCTCTGCCTTCAAAAAAAGGGAAAAGTGAGATTCCGAGTCTAGTTTGAAAACAATTTGAGCGAAGTTTTTGGCATCAAAAGACGATCCCTTACCTCAAAGCACGCGTTCAAGAGAAAAGAGGATGTCATCAACATAACCATGCTATATTCGTTCCCCTCTATAGTGAAGCCTTCTTTTGCAAGTTCGTATGCTAACCGGCCTGTAAAAGAAACAATACAGCCACGACAATGCGGTCAAATATCCATTAAACCAACCAAGCCCAGAACCGGGAACCATGATTCTGATTATACGCCTCTCGCTCGTGCTAGGGTAACGCTCTCGTATGAGATCAAAAAGTGGCTTATAGGTAGCATCACGTTCCGGCTTTCCTTAACTAGGAATATTCAAATCTGGAGCCAGAAAATCATTTCATTACCTTCAACGGTCCATTCTCGTACTATCTGGCGCAAGGTGCTCAGAACTTTGGACATGTAGTGAGGATCTGGACGTCTGAATGGCCATAGATCAGTCAACGCCTTCAATGGAAGTGTCGGCACCTGGTTCACAACCGTTTTTGACGAATTCTCCTGGTTTTTGTTGCAAACTCTTCTCCAAAAACATTCAGCCCGTAGGTCACAATCTTTTTCAAAATCCTGGAAAATAACCCTAAATTTCTGTAAAGAAAAAGCCAGATTGGGAAGCTTGTTTACTCTTGATTGCAGTCCACACATTTGAGCACTTTTCGCATATGATCATTATGGGACTGTAGTATTATATTCTTATGAGTGGGAGACAGCTTCCTAAAAATCATCGAAATGAAAAATGGAGCCAAAATGGAGTCAAATCATAGTGAAAGAACATGTTCCCTGATTCGACGTGTGTCTGGGCATGATGCCTGGCGTAATGCCACGAGAAAGGAGCCAAAAAGATAAGAGGTCAGTTAGTAAACACGAAAGGACTCGCTAACTTGAAAGACATCATAGTTCTGCATGCCATTTCGCGACCATGCATGCCGTAGCACAAGAAAGCGTTCAAAATCTTCTCGGCCTCTCTGATTTCTGCATCAACATCGTTCTCATTACAGGTGCCATCCTTAATTAGACCTTTCAAGTAAACAATAACTATGAGGCTGCGTTCATACTTTGCGCCAGCATTTTGAGCATACGCCGGCGTTCTGAGTGACGAGAGGATAGGTTTTGATTCGGAGTTGCAGCCGCACGCCAACGTGCTCATCGGCTAGGAACGGCTCTTCAAGAGACAACAGGGCA